CTAATTCTAAAATTCTTAATTATCATCCATAATCTCAGAAGAATTTAGTTTTTAAAATCGTTCAAGATCGCACGATCTCACGATCTCGCGATTTTGTGCGCGATCTTCGATCGATTCTTCAAGACCCATGATTTTTGTCCGATTCAGATCGTTGAAGCCCCTTAACATCGTAAAATCGTGCGATCTTAGGATTTAGATCGCGATTTAACAACCATGCTGGGCACTACAACAACTTCCTCAATGACCACCTTGTCTTCCTCCTCCTCGTCATCGCTCTTAATGAGGACACATCGTTTAGCCCTCGTCTTCTTTCGACCCACGATGACGATCAATCAAATCCTGAAACTCATTTTTGTTCTCCTTTTTGAAATGAAGAAGTTGCCAATGGCGAACCGGTGAATACGGTGACAAAGAAGTGGCAGTAGGTGTGGATGATGGAGGAGATAATTTAAGATTTCCAAGAGGCTTAGTATATATATAACGAAAGTGTATCCGTTATGATGTTCATCTTTACTATTAATTAATTATATGTAAAAAAATGTACCCGTTATGTATATAATGAAGTGTATCCGTTACGAAAAAGAGAGAGGCGACTGTATAAATAAGGAAATGCCACAAAATGTGAAAAGACGCAATTGGGGCTAGATTCATGATGTGAGACGGTGAGATGTAGATCAGACGGCTAATGTTGGCGAGCGAGAGGGAGGCGAGTATCTAGCAGGCTTTTAAAGGAAAGTAACCGTTCGATGGTGGGTGAGATCGCGATTCCTATATAAAATGCTTACCCTATTTAATGCATAGGGTAGCATTATATATATATAGATAATAGATAATAGTTGATTTGCTTAAAAAAAAAAAAAGTTAGTAGGCCTGCAGCCACCTCACATAGCTACACCCTTCATTTCATGTGAAACGTACAGAGATTGAGATACACATTTTATGCAAAAATCTTGATTTATACTCAGAAATGAACCTTGCGTTTAGAAAACATATAAAATTTTAACGAGATGAGTATATAATTTAAAATTAATTAATAATAAGTAAGATAATTTGTAATATCTTGAATCCTATATTAATAAAAAAATGTGAGTGAGTTTAGTATATAAGTAAAGAAACTAATTATCGTTAATAATTTAACTTTGAGTTTTTAAAAGTTTATGAATCTTAATTTAAATAGTTATTAGGCTAGTAAAGATTTCAATGCAAATTGTTTTAGTTAATATTAAAAGTTATTTCTTATAAATATGAACTCATATTGACTATCACAGTTAATGATGGTATAATCCTTACATCATTTGAAGTAGATTATGTCTTATAGCCCAACGACCCTAATTTTGATTGTGCCTTGAATCTCACACCGATGAGAAATTATGATTGAGCTTAATATAACAATCTAGACTTAAACTTTTATATGCATCTTGGTGACATAGATAACAAAACTCATTGTCATATATAGGTGAATAGGCCTAGAGCCACCCCACATGGCTACACCTTTTTTATTTTTTATTTTTTTTTAACAAATACAAATTTAAAAAGAGAAATTTAAGCCGAATAGTTAAGGTGGGGAATGCATTTTTCTTAAAATTTATAATTGACCTTGTAGATGACACGCACATCATCATTTCATGTGAAACGTAAGGAAATTACAACGCGCATTTGGTGCATAAAACTTGATGCCACCACCCCAGATGGCAACTCCCTCCCATCATTTCATGGGAAACGTAAAGAAATTGCGAAACATATTTGATGCGTAAATCTTTACGTGCTTATACTTAGAAATGAAACTTGAGTTTTGATACATATCAAAAATTTAATAAGATGATTATATACTTTAAAATTAATTAATGATAAATAAAGTAAATTATTTTAACTTATTATATATATGTGTATTATATATTTTTATGTATATAAATTAAAAGTATAAT